ACTCGAGCGTACCGTAAACTGTAGAGACCTATTGAACTTTGTAGATTAGATGGTAGAAAGACGCTCTGAACTTTATTGACGATTTTGAGTATGGAAATTGGCCGATTACGTTACTTTTGTAATTCTTCAATAATTTCCTTCGAAATAAAAACAAATTCCAACGCGTTCGAGAATATCAAGTTAACGTTTGTGACCTTGCCACTCCCTCACGTCACGTTAAAATCGTCATTGAAATGCACACTTTTCAACACGTAGACAGCCCACCTTACATTAATCTGATGCGCTAAGTAAATCCCAAAATCCCCTATTGGGCTCCCCTACTATCACACGTGTCTAAGGTCACGCCTGAAAAGTCAATCATGGGAGTGTAGCGATTTTTAACTTTGAGGACGAAATTAGCCACACCGACAGAATTTATTAGTTTCTTATTTGAAATCGTTAGTTCGTTGTTTGTTGATCACCTTATGTTGTTTTTTCATATTTTGCATTTATGAAATGAAAATCGTTCAAAGGTGGAGTACAAAAAGCAAGTTACCAAGGCAGAAAATACAATTCATAACAAGCCCAATTGTGTGATTGAAGTTACCATTTACAGAACTCTATACCACCAACCTTTGGAGGTTACTGAACTTCACTTTTTAAACGTAAGAATTATTTTCTTGTTTTGTATAGTATGGTACAGTTATTTTAAATAAAGACATTTAATATTGTAGTTTTTTATTTGAGATTAATCATCTATGACTATTTCGCTATAAATTTTCTATTTCTATATCCTTATCACTCTTTTCGTTTCGTGTATGTTAAACGTTTTTTTAAATAAAAGGATTAATTTTTATTATTTTATTATTTTTAAATGATGACCTGTACTTTTCTAAGCTTCAAGATTTTGACACTTACAGACATTTCCAGTTATTATTTCCATTCAAACCCTTATCTTTAGTATGTTGCATTTTAAATAAACGGATTTGATATTTATATTTTTAGGTTCAAGATTTCGACAGCTATTGTAATTTTGTCTCAAATTGTCTATTTCTGTTTACTATCCATATTTTTATTAGGTATTCACTCTATCGTGATCTAAGTGAGTAGGGGTTTCATAAATTATTATACTTATGTTCATTACTTTCAGATACAACAAAGGGGCAAAGAACATTTTTCAGAATACTCCACCTTTTGACCAAATTCATTACAACAAAAGTTGAAAATTGTAACTTTGGGTAATTTTTAATTTTTGTAAAAACAACAGACTACCAACTAACGATTAAAAGTAAGGTAAAATAGAACGAACACGAATAAAATAATTGGAATAAAAATGTCTTACACTAAAATCTCTATTTCAAAAAGAAAATTGGCATAGTTATTTTATTTATCTATAAGTACGCGATTTTGTCTAAATGTGTGTTCCGTCACCTATTTCTTTGAGGTTAAAGGCCAAATTAATGATTTCATGGTTCTAAAAACTGCAAATTGATGCTTTAAAATGTTTATCATCATTTGGGAGCAGTCACAATCACAATTCATTAATTAATTAAAAACTTATATGTCATAATGTTGGTGATTATTTGAAGACATTTGTATCTAACATACATATTTTTATTGGGGAGCTTTCAATATTTCGCGTTTCTGTGTTTCCGACACGATAATGGCGTCCTAAAAATGTATGTTTGGGGTACTAAAATGTTCTGTTTGTGTAGATACCTTAAGTTCCCTCGTTTGAACTCGATTTATCAAGTAAGCTTATTGAACTTCCTTCGTGTTTTTGGAGTACCTATTTTACCCTCTGATTGCAAAATAAAAATTTTCTAGAATGAACCTTTAATAATTTTCCAAAATGTGTTGTAATGTTGCCAATATAAAATGTTAATACGAAAGTTATGCATAGATACCTACTCTAAATTTGTTTATTATTTAATTAAATAATTGTGAACAACTGAAAACCCATTTTCACAATGCACTAAAAATGTTTGAGCAATTCGAGTTGATCCCACAACTTTATTTAAATATATGCGTAAATCCAATTTGTAAAGTGTCAGTTTTATTTGTGCTGAACATTTTTTGAAATAAGAATGTTCTAATATGCGCCTGTATAGAGCAGGAGAATCTTCTTTTTTTGTTCGTCCATTATTTATTTTTATACCTACGTATGTACGTCAAATGTGACATTTCGTTGATCATATTCAAACAGCGAAGTATTGTTTCGTTGCTAGGAGCAGACAAGCGGAAAAGAGGCAGAGAAAGTTTACTTTTCTTCCTCTTTTCCGCTTCTCTGCTTCTTTTGATTTCTATATCTCTGTTGACTAGCCGTTTATATACACGCAATTCCAGTAGGTACAGTTTGATGATTTACATTCCCACGTGGATTATTTTCTAATACAACCTCATACAAAATTCTTAAGGAATTCACAAGGAACGCGATACCCAGCAGGTTATTTAAAAGTATATTTAAAAAATTTTAAAATTTGTGTTAGGTACTTCCATTAATTTTTTTGATTTTCTTCCAGGGGGTCTGTTATTGTGATCACGTATTGGTTTCACGATTGTTGTTTGATGTCCTTTAAGGTTCTATTGACTTTTTTACTTTTTTTTTTAGTATGATTGACATTTTCAGATGTATCAAAATGTAGTGCGTGCACCTGTAATGGCCCACTTCCTGAGAGACTCGATGTGTTTTATGAAATGTTCGTTAAAAAATCTATTACACAACAGGATTAAATCTACACCTGTGGACCTGAAATGAATTTATTGCGCTTACGACATAATTCTAAAACAAATTTCATTGACTCTGCGGGGAGACCATAACAATAATTAATTATACTTTTACCGAGAGAAATTCCATACGAACAGATTTTTCTAGTTTAATTCATGCAAATGTATTATTAAATTATTTTTTATGTCAAACATTACTTATACACTTTCTAACTTGCCCATTTATTACCTCAAAATATACTTAATGTGTCCTTTTACGTCAAAACTAATTTATCGTTGCTTTAGAATTCATTGAAAATTGAAATCTTAGTAGTAAGCCAAATTTTCAGAACGGAGACGGATTTCAAATTCGTCAATGTTGACAGTGTTTTAGTAAAAGTTTCCGTTTTTCCAGATTTGAAGGTATAACGAAAATTATTGTGATTTACGGCATTGAATATTAAAAAATGCAAACCGCCTATAGATAAAGATCGCTTAATAAAGTGATTATGCTAATTGTAATTCATCAAAGGAATCTGAAATTATTTATTAAAAAAAGGTAAGGAACCGTTTGAAATTAATCAGCATATTCAATATTTTCGTGTACCTAAGCCTACAGGTTCGAAGGCTGTATTATGTAAATTGGATAAGTTCTGATGTTAATGACGCTGATGGTAATTACAATAACGTTTAGCTGAAAGTAAGTTTGGTGGAACGGTTATAATTTTTCAATTATTGGTTGTTAATTAAGCCCCTAAGGAGAAATAGAAGTGAACAGTGTATAAAACTTCAAACAGATGACTAGATAAACAAAAATGATGATTGCATACCTACATGATTGGTTTTATGGTTACGTAATGAGAGTCGTGTTTAACCAACAATTCCATCAATTATGTCAATTGTACGTAAATCTGTTGAAATTAATTATACGAATTCTGTATGAATTGAGTACGACCAGTTGCTAGTCGATGCAACGGTACACATACCATGAAATTGGTTAAAAGCATTATGTTATAAATAACAACTAGACGTAGCACACATACTTCATATAATTGCCACCCTATTTATAATGCGATAGTTAGAATTTGGGTTAATTTCTTTTATTTAAATTATAACGGTTACGCTACGTGCATTTATTTGGTCTTCTAATCAAATTGAACTACCTAATAAACCGAAACGAACGGTTGAGTAACCATTTCATTTCATTACTTATATCGTTTGTTATTTCATGTGATTAATAATTTATAAAGATCACTTTACATAAGGTATGGCATTAATTAGACAACGCTATCATTGCATCTGCAAGGTAAATGGGATGATGGCATCGTCTACCTAACTCAAGTTGGTATCTATTGCTTACTGACGTGGATAATAATTATTGTTACTTTATGGACGTTGTCATGGCCATATCTAAGTTCGATCGCCCCCGAGAACTAAGGCCAGAGTGCTCCCTCCGCCTACTGGCCAACATTTTTGAAATATCTAGGGGTTTTGTTTAATGCTTTTCCAAAAGTTCAGCTGGTTAGTTAGAACGACAACAATTTTTATAATCACTCCCAAGAAAAAAGAGAGTTTTTAAATAAAACACAATTTACATATTTGGGCAAGCGAAAACTTGCTAAATTCTGCATTTTGTGTGAAATGAAAACACAGATCTCTGCTCAATAGTCCAGTTAACTGGTGCTCAAAAACGGACTGTAGAATGCGCCCTGACGTTTAGGAGGTGTTGCAAAAGTGGATGGTTATTCCACTAGTAAAAGTCTACACAACACATAACCTCAAATTATCCATGAAATCACTATTTTTAAAACTTCTCAATCAAAAAATATTGATATTGAGTTCAATATAAATGTATGTTGTGGTATAATTTTCGTTGTGCATAGTATGAATTTCAATTTGTTTATATTTAGTAATCATAATCATGGTCAGTAAATACAAATTCGAATTATCCAATATTGTTAATTTCAAATTATTGTGATTTTGACACCGGACGGCCGTTTGGAGGTTCGCCTCTGAATTCTTACAAGAAAATGTTGGTTCTTACGCCTCTGAGTGTACGCCCACAACAACATTCACCTATTTCTCGCAAGTAAAGGTCTGTCTCTATCTACAACAAAGAGGGTCAAATTTAATATTGAGATTAGAGAATTTTAGGGGGGGGGGGGGCGATAGCTTGTCCATATCATCAAGTAGGCCTTAAGAAACGGACTGATTTTATTATTTTAAATCTGGACGAAAGGATTGATTAGTCCTTTTTCACTTACTTATTTTGTATGTTATTCTAATTATAAAAGGAAAATCTGCCAAGTACTTACAGTTTTTTGTACTATGTGCGATGTTTAGCAACGTTTACACCAGGGGGCCTACGTTACTATTTTATTGTAGTAGCTATCAGTGGTGGCTAGATTTTGATCCTGAATTTTTGGTTCTGTAAAATAAAATACAAAATACTTACAGGTCAATTTTTGAACTCTGAAATACAGCTTTTCAAATTCTCAAATCACTGATAATTATTAAGAATCATTCACTATGCTTTTCTCCTACTAAATGGATGTGCCGGAACTATAGTTTCAATAGCATTTTTTTGGGAAAAATAAGCAAGTAGCAACTTGTAACTAGAGTGACAATTTGGTCACATTTAAAAATCAAACGCACTGCATTGTTCGGTAATTTGGGTTAAATTTTTATGCTTAAAGAAGAAATTAGAATCTCTACGCTGAGAAAAACGTCTTCCACCTTTTTAATACAATAAGAAAATGGTACTGGATTGTCCTACTAGTATACTGTAATTTTGATTGAAATGGCATTTGCTATACCAAAAAACTAGCATGCTTGTACGGAAAGTTGCCCAACAAAGAAAGAAAAACAACAGTTATATTGGGTTATGCTCTTATTTTCTAGATTAATTCAGCGTAATTGCAGTTTCTATTGGGCATACTTTAGATATGACTCTTTTCTTTAAAAACTATGTGATAATTTCATTAAGCCAAAAAACATTGAAATTTCATTAAACCAATGGACAATCGTTGTGTTGGGTTGTGGTAGCTGTGATGTGCTTTTTTTCAAAAATCCGAATAAGATATAAAATAGTTCGGCATAACTTTGATTATTTTAATTTAAACAATTTTCCATCCATGGATTTATATTCTATTTAGGGGAAATATCGCATCAGAAACATAGCATAATCATAGTATAAGCACAGATTTAAATAGTATATTTAAATCTGTGGTATAAGTTTACTACCCGATACATAGTTCCCATAATGTTACAATTTATATACCTTCGCACATGATCATAAATTTATTATTCCGCACTGTTAAACAATACTTTATTTGCGGTTGTGTAAGATTACATCTCGGATTACATAAACTGGTTTGACAAACAAAATGCTCAAAATAAATGAAGCAGAAGCGTAAAGTAGGTGTATGTTAATTAGTGTGTCCAAAAATAGTTATTCATTTACAAAATAATTTACACAATCTTGAATCTTCATTGTCATAAATTTAATTGGCAGAAAAATGGGTTTGAATTTTAGTGCCCTGGTCATTATTGTGATTTGAAAGCACGGTAAAAATCTAATGGCGAAAAATTGTACTTTTTTGAATATTTTGAGTGAAAGTTGATGGCAACACCATCCACAACTAAAAACCCCAGCGGTCAAGAGAGAGACTCAAAGCTCCTCAAAAAATTATAGTTTGGTATATATTTCTTTTTATAAACATATAAAATTGAAACGAGTTTGAACGGAACAATGATTTCTCATTACGGCACAACCTACTGTTACCGTCAATCTCGATATGCACTTTCAACATTCTGTCAACTTCTTCGCTAGGAACTGTAACAGGTGACTTTTGAAAAAATATTGCCAGGACGAACAGGATTGGGTGCAAACACCTCATCTTCATTAACACAGATTGCAATTTGCGGTGTATAAAATGTAAAAGTTGCACTTGCAATTACAGGCTTAGAACATGATCATAAATTTATTATTCCGCACTGTTAGGTACTCATCGCATTCGCATAAGTTGTGGTTGTGTAACGTACGCTATAAACAACGTTTTCTTAAACATCTCATTAAAATTAATACTATTACGGGAGAAGGCTAATTGGCGTGTATAAAAATGGTTATTGAACCTAGGAGTGAAACAAAGTAAAATTTTCTTTTACGCGTCACTAATCAAAAAAGAAATTCGCCGCAAGAAAGTGCAAATAAAAAGTTAAGGCTCGAACGCAAGGTTCTACGTTTACTTCTGGCATCGTAAAAATTAATTTTGGTTCGTAACGGATTAACTCGAAAACAGACACTGCACCTACATTTTTCGTTTATTTGCGAAATGCTTGAAAATATAAATTAGTTACTGTTCGTGCAAGCTTAAAATGTAATAAATAAAAAGTACTCCATAATAGGAACAATATGAGTTGGTTTGTTTATGATTTCTATATTCTGAAAGTGGGTGAATTGGGACCAAATCAACCTTGTAATAACGCTTAAAAAATATGTCATTAGTGTAGTTTCACTGCAAAAGACAGCTTGCGTTCAAAAGGTGCGATCACAGCACTGAGACCTCGTAGAAAGCTGTCATACTTTTAAATTAGTAGGGAATAGGGATGAAAATTTACATAGACGCACGTCTAATAAAAGTGTAAGTAGTGTTTCATATTAAAAGCTTTGTGACATATGGGGAGACGCATCGAATAAAAGTAGTTTTTATTCAAATAATGTCTTTATCCAAGAACAAGGGTACGAGCCTCCGTTCAAAAACTCGACACTAACCAAGATGCCGTGGGCGACATCCATTGAACCTAGTATGGTTATGTGTAATGACTAATGAGAGAGATCGACTTCCGGGCTTTTTGTTTAGTACAGCGCATCTCTGGCCATTCATTGAAGTAACTCTTATTATATGTTTTTGTCCATCGGCCCATCGATCATTTTATTTATTTTCAGGTTTGAGATATAGGGATCCTATTAAAAAGGGAAAGTAGGAGTAGACGTAGTTCACAGAACAACTCTTGATAGAAGAGTAATCCCAAAATCTCTTCCGCCACTTTACAAGGAAGCTTTAGAAAATTTAGAAAGCGGTTGAGAAAATCTGAAAGCTGGTTTTGCTGCCATTCTTTAACTCGTCAAAAAGTTTTTAAGCGACTGCCAAATGAAGTGGATCATTGTAATCAGTTTAATAGAGAACGGACTGAATTTTTAGTAGGATTAGAGTTTCATTTTATTTTCTCAGGTTTATCACGACTGTTGGAACAATAAACTTGAGCATATGCAAACATATTCATATGGAAAAACTATTCGAAAATTTCGTTCTAAATTACACAACAGTATATTCAACTTTGTGAAACTCTGACCACGATGTTATTAAAAGAAAAACATTTCCAGTTAATATTTTAAAAGAAATAAATTTTAAAATTGAATGAAATTCTCATATTCATTCTTAGATTTAATGCAAACATGCATTAAGAACAACTGGTTGTAAAAAGATTCAAATAATCTTCAAAATAAAACTAAAATAAATTTTTACGATACATTATCCCGAGGAAATTTCTTTTCGTACTGGAAAGTTCAAAAGCTGTTCTTTACCTTACTAAAGCTTTCTTCGAAAAGTATACAAGTTTACCTACTCCTTTATTTTCTGCTTGCATTTCAACAGGTTTTCATTTTTGTTCTCTAATGCAAAGAACGTTAGTCAAAGGTTGACATATTTCAGTTGAAATTTCTTGAGAAATGTGTATTTGTGGGATTGTTTCAGTAAAGTCCGATGGATGAACAGGAAGACGGTGATTGATAATCTTAAATTCAAAATTCCAAAAGACGCTAGAATTACGACGCAATCTTGAAATTGCTTCAAACTCTGTAATTTGTCCTGGCCTTGAACAATTTCCAGTTACATACAGTCTACGATTAGGTAATTCATATTTCGTCTTAAAATAAACTCTTATATAGCGGAAAATTAAATTCTGAATAATTTCATTGTTTCATACCCATTTCAAATGGTTTATCGATTGATGAGTGTACCGATCGAACTACGATGTCATGTCGCTCATACTTTTACTTTCATGGGGACTACCAAAGCCAAACGACATGGTTTGTGTACCAGCACTATTTGTAAATAGGTATATCTAATGTAATTTATATTACAAAATGCGTCGTATAGCATTGTACACTTACCCATTTCCGTAATAATTAATTACAATTACCTGAGGATGAGAAATATTGCGCAAATTACTCACTGCGACATTCCTTAATTCGCTCCTATTTCTCTTAATGGCAAAACTGTGAAATTACACAAGCTATTAAACATAAAATACGGTGTTTTCTATGATGGGATAGTGAAATTTTTACATTTTATTCTCATGCCGTGTCTGGTGTGTGAATTTTGCATGCGGATTTTTTATTTATGCACAGTAAAATTAGCGACGATCACAGATTACGAAGATTCTAAGGGACCTACACCTACTGTGACAATCGTCACATAGCTGACAATGAATTGTTGCTTATGTATATGTGATAACTGTAAATAGTCACTTGTAACTGATTGAAATGAGTTCGGCACTTCTCTTTCGCAAGATTAATAGATGCTGTATACATCTTCAGTAATAAACTTCATTTAGAATACTTTCTCATAGGCTCGTAAAGCTTTACGTGACTTAAATTACCAAATAGTTATGGATAATACGTGTGGAATTATGTAATTTTGATTATGTGTGTGTGTGTTTAGTATAAAGTCTGTTTGTATACCCACAACTTTTAACTTTCTCCATAGTTCAATGCCGAGCTTTTCTAAAATGAAGCTCGAGATTATTCAACTTCAAGAGGGAATTTCTATACCTACATGTTGATAGCACAAATAAAACGTGATGGGCACCTTATGTACCTACACTGTTTGAATAATAATTCTTAGAATACAAATATAGTACCACAATTTTTATTTAACTAATTTTTGATCTAAAATCCCAAACCGGACTACTCTCAGAGTAAGAAATAAAGATCTTACTCTGAGGGACTACTACAATACGTAACATTACGTATTAACATTATTCTTGCGCTCTATTTCAACTGAAAAAATAACTACTTAAACAAATGGCGTGCATTCCTTTGCATTTTTCGTTGTAAAATTTAAATTCAAGAATCTTGAATCTCGAGAACAGGCATCTTGGTATTTTTCTTTAATTTTTAGATTTCTGTGCAGTACAAAAGGCTCTCGAATCGCAAGTAGTACCTTATGTGCAAATTGAAAGAGGTTGTTTTGGCGAATGAATTCGCACACTGTATATGTATGTATACCGTTGTAATTTCAAATTGTATTTTGATGTATACATTATAATATACATTTTTCTCTCCTCATTTCGCTAAATATATTTATAGGAAACATATACCTAACATCTAAATAAACCTTACTTAAACTTTAGTGAATGTACCAT